ATTGCACTTAGTCTCAACTGTTTCCCAATTGCTATGTATTTGCTCGCCATTAATATCTAAGCTGAAACCGATATAATAAATAGAACCAGGTTCAAGATTTACAAAATATTCTGTCAATTGTGTCATATTTCGAAATAACTTGGTCCATGATTGCTGGCCATATTTAATTTGTCCCTGAAAATGTATCATGAATTGAAATTGATCTCTTTTTCTAATTTTGTTTTTGAATATTAAGAAACATTTAAATATTTGCATCGATTGCAAATTTTATTAAATTACTAATTGCTTAAACAATAATTTTTAATATTTTTAATAGTTTTAAAAAGATATTAAATCTTACTTGAATAACAAAAGAATAAAGAGTCGTAAATTTTTCATATTCGTTTTTCCATATTATAGAAACAGAGGCGTGAATAGTCGTCTCATTCACGAAAATAATAGTAGGTATGTCGGGCTTGTCTACATCTGTAAAATAATCGGTATATTTACATACAACCATAATAGATACTTCTTAGGAATAATATAAAAATAACTTATTATACGTATTATATAAAAGATTGTTACTTGTTTGACATAAAGGTGGTATGTAAATAATCTTGTCAGTATTGTCGCTTCCTTTACTACACACTCCAGTTGCTATATTACATTGTTTCTTGTCAAAGCATATGCCGCATGTCTTTTTGCAACCATAACCATATGTATATGTATCACAAACTGAAAGGTCAAAAATGAAATGTTTGAGTATTTCGCATAAAAATAGAGACATATTCTGGTGATAATTATTATATTGGCAATTAGAAATTATTTACATTCAAGGCAATCATCTCCTAAAACACCCGGAGCACACGTGCAACCATTTTCGTAACAAATTTTGGCTCCTGTACAGTTAGAATCACTATTCAAATCAGATTCGCAGGAAAATAAGCATTGTGATCCAATTTTGCCTTGAGAGCAGTTTGCGTCATCTGACAAAATAATTAAAGTTATTTAGAATATTTAAATCAACTTTAAAATAATTTTTCCCGTTTGCTAACTTAGAAACATTATCAGCAAAATTACAACGTTATTAATGTCAGTTATATAAATTAAATAACAATTATAACAGTTACCCAAGTTTATATTTAATTTCATGCGCGATAAATGATTCACGACGATATGTTCATTGTAAAATAATTTTTGACATGTCTCAATCGGCCAAAAGTAACCACTATGACTGTAATTCCAATGTTCTTTATTAGAAATCATAATGCCCTTTCTCAAAGCTCCTAAAAGACATAACAGAAGTTGAATACAAAAAAATTAATATGTTAAAAGACTTTTATAATTGTTTGATGAATATACAAATTACGTAATTGATAAGTAATTTTAAAAAGATTCGGAATAATAAGAACATAAAAAATTATAGAAATCATACCATTTTGGGGACATTGACGAACATTCGCTATCGCCCACAATGGATTCGAGCTGTGCTTATTCAGTTTAGGAATCAATTGAATTATCACCTTACTATTAGTATTATAATTGGGCACTGTAGAATTTCGGTTAATTTTGATAGATTGCCACATAGGTAAGCCGTGGGCCGTAATTTTCGATGAGCCTTCTATCGTTATCATTATCAACTCTTCATCATTTATGTAATCACGCAACACTACATGTGCATTACATTCGGCGCAAAGGCCAACGAACAATTGTACGCACATCATTTTATTATTAAGTTGGAAGATGGGACTTGTTAAAACTGCATTCTCGATAGTCGTATGCAGAAAGTCATCTGAAAAATACGTGTATTACATGATAATTTTATTATTACTTATTGATTAATGCTAGACTTGAAATGATTTGATAGACATTTATTAAAAATTTACATACTCACATATATGAAATCGAAACAACATCGCTGCATCACTTCTAATGAACATATAATAATCATTGCTTGAACGTAAATGCCTTTCCTCGTCTGTATATTCCATAATCAGCTTATCAGTATCATAAACAATTATTCTGCGCGTCGTAGGGTTCCACGTAATTACAAATGATCGCCATTCATTTTCAGATAATGGTGTGTGCTGTATTAATTATAAATGCGGCATAAAGATCTGACAATTTTTTTACAAATTTACATTTTCAAAGATCCTGTTCTTGGGATAATGTTGTAATTGGTAGAGAGTGTAAATTGGTTAATTTTTTCATTCACGATATGCTTCAAAAATGTTTTTATTACACGTAATATAAAAAAAACAATGAAGTTAAGCAGAATAAATTTGATATACAAATACTTACATTGAAAGAAGCTAGCGTCTTGCAATTTCTTACGGGCTGTTTTCCGCGTACAGGTACTCCCGTCGCGCACTTTCGTATAACGGACTTTGTATTGCCCCAATCTCCTATTATAATCCAATAGCAAGAATCTCTGGCAAACTTCTTACTGTTGCAAATTAATATTTGTGCGTCATGGGAAACACGAACCGAAAAGGGTAGCTTTACTTCGGCACTAATTGTAAGATTAAGATCTACATAATCATAAGTATCTTGAAGATTATCATATTGTTTAAATTCTGAAAATTTTATATACGTGTTATTGAAAGCTGTCATAAAAGATATACTTTGTTTTTGTAACATTTCATATTGCATTCTACGTATATCACAATCTTCTATCAAAGCACAATATTTTTACCTTCCCATCGCTGATCAAATACCGGACCCATAGATGTTTTTAAAGAATTTGTAAGAGTCCAGTTCTGTTTATTCCATGACTCCAAGCAGCTCTCGTTTGCGTTCATTTTACAATTGATCTCATTACTATTGGAATCATTTAAATTGTAAAACTCTGAAATAAGACGCGCGTCTATAATGAATACATTACCCAAATAAATGTAAAGATATTAAATATTATATGAATGAATTTATAGATAATTAAATAAATTTTGATAAAAATTTTAGAACGTAAAGCACGTAAAAAAATTTTAGTATGTAAAGCAAAGAACATAATTTTTTGTAAAGTTTTGCTTTGCAAGTTACAAAAATGCATCAGTTTTGATTAATTAACTTACGCAAATTGTTTTTTTCAGGAGAATACCAATTCCAGATTAAATTGTTGTTCCACACAAGGGCACCGCCATCATCTTCCGAAAGACAGATCAATTTTACTTTGTCAGGTTTGTTAGAAAATGGGGATCCACGCAATAATGTTACTTTTCCGAAAATATGTAAAATGTGATTTGCAAAGATAAAAAACATTAGCACATTTATCGTCACTTTTTTCATTGTCAACGAAAACCACACGTGCTGTTTGTAAGATTAACGGTCGTTAGAATAAAAGTAAATGAAATAACGTAATAGAATAAATGTTTAATTAATTTAATTATTTTATATTGTCACTTTAAAAAAAATTGATTGTTATGATGACGTTAGATTTAATAGGATAAGAGTTTTATCCATCGGTTATATATAAATGAAATCCTCGAATGAATCACTCTTTTTTATTGGAAAAACAGTGAAAAATCTTCGACCTAGTTGGACTTTCGGCTGAGTCGTGCTGGTTTTCTGCTACTTTGTAGCTAAATCACCAAAAGACGGTACACATGCATTTTATTCACGATAATTCAATTTAAACAAGAATTAATTAAAGAAATCAATTTTTGTCGAAACGTTTGGTACTGTGTCCGTTTTACACTACTCGAACTTTTTGGACGACAAGCAATTACTAGTAGATAGGAATTCGACTTTCTATCTAAATTCGTCAGTTAATTCGTGATAACAGATTTC